GCAACAGCACAACATGAGTGCACTTACATACATGCAGGGAATATATTCATACACATAAAATAAAAATAATAAAGTATTTTTAAAAATAAATAAAAACATGACTAGGGCTGGGAGATGGGGTAAAGAACTTACTAAAGCATGAGGACTAGAGTTCAGATGAGCAGAACCCACATAAAAGCTAAGTGGGCATGGCAGCCCACCTGTAATCCCAGTGCATAGGAGGTGGAGACAGGGAATCCTTGGAGCAAGACTAGCCAGAACAGTGAGCTCCAGGTTTGGTGAGAGACCTTTTCTCACTATATAATGTGGACATAAATCAAGGAAGACATCTGACATCAACCCTGGACCTCCACATGCATCTCCACACACATACCTGTAAACACACCTAACACAAGCACACACACCACACACACATACATGTACAAAAAAAAAAAAAACATGACTACCATTTGGTCTCCATTCCTTTGAGAACCAACATCAACACCAAAAAAATAAAAAGAAGGAAAAGACTGGAATTTCAGAATTTCTACTAAAAAATACTTGTTAACCAATGTGGAATTTTTTATCTACAGGCTGGGACTTTTCAAACAAGGATGTGTAAATCTTAGCATTCAAAGACCCATGATTAAAAGGACTGCTAGTTTACTTTTGGAGGTAACCACAGAAAAACTGTCAAGGCACAAAAAGGGTAGCATCTATGAAGTGTTAGAGCCAAAAACAAAACAAAAAAAACAAAAACGGTCATTTTTCTTTATATCCCAACAGACTAGAAAAAAATAAACAATCTCTTTCTTCTTTCCTTTAGCCCCAGGTAGCCTGGAACTCACTATGTAGACCAGGCTGGCTTTGGTCTCACAGAGATCCACCTGCCTCTGCTTTCCAAAATCTAGGATTAAAGGCATACACTACCATGCCCAACATAAAAAATAGCTCCACTTATTATAATTTTATATTAATTTTACTAAAATACATTTTATGTGATATATATACATGAAAATTATATGGCATTGCTTTATATGAATGGTATGGCCCAATAAATAACATAAAAATTAGATGTAATTCTGACAAGCAAATGCAATGTGATTCTTGTCAATAAAATGTTCTAAAGATATTTGCTATCATCCCAGAAAAGATATTTTATAAGCAAGTTTTGTATCTTTGTACAGCTTCTAAAAATAGTTTAATAAACCAACAGTGCTATAAATGTCTCCCACATTCCTTCAAACCTAGGTTTTAATTTGTAGGTGTAAATGAGGCCAGAATTCAAATGACAGACAGCTTGAGTAGGAGACTAGATGGCACAGGAGCAGCAGGGCAGTGGCTGTCACTTTCAGGGACCCTGATGCCCTCTCAGAGGCTATTCTCTTTGGAATCCCTTCAGAGAAACAAACAGGTGGAGGGACCAAGGATGTCAACTCCATTGTGGTCTCCTGATGATCTCTGATATGCATAAGTGGCAGAATGATTCCACCTTTAGGTTTAGTTCTATTGTAATAATGATTATGAATAATTGATCACTATGTAATGAATTATTCAGGCAGGCACACAGTTTCCAAGGAATCCTGGGGAGAGTCTTGTTAATGGCTTAACAGGAGCCAGAGGCAGCTGTTGAGGGGACACCCCATCATAAACCCACACTGCAGAAGTATGGGTAGTTAATGCCTCTCGGGTGAGCTTTTCGACGAGGAGCTATATGAACACCTTCTGAGTTTTCACGAAGTAGAACCTCCTACTGTGTACTTCTAGTGTCTGTCCATGTGTGGTATGGAAATACTGAGTCCCAACCCCTTCTACCATCAGAGGGAACACAGTCTTTGGTTTCAGCTGAGAGTAACTTTAGCTGATGCAATTAGTGGCAACGTGAAAAACTGCAGAATCAAGAATGCATACATAGACTCACATAAACATGTACACACAAACTCATGTGTGTATGCACAAGTTATGCTTAGTTAGGAACATTAAAACAAGGTCAAAGTAAACTTTACCAGGAGGAAATTATTGTTCTCAGGTTTCAAAACTTTTTCAGTATATACTTACACCATTAAATTAAGTCAGCATTCAACTCCTTTAAAGATAGGAAGGACTAGTTAAAATTCAATTTCAGATATGTCAGGTTCAGTACACATTGGATGACCAAATGTTTCATTTCATAAGTAATGTTAAACTGTCTGCCATTGATCCATCTTATAATTTCCTTTTCTTGGGTATGTGTGTACACATGCATGTGTGGGTGCATGTGTGGAGCCCAGCAGTCAATGTCAGGTGTCTTCACTGAACCTGGAGCTCACTGGCTAGACTGGCTGGACAGAACACACACACACACACACACACACACACACACACACACACACTCTCTCTCTCCTGTCTCTGCCTTTCGACACATGCACAGGCAGGAGCCATGCCCAGCTTTTTATGTGGTTGCTAGAGATCCAAACTCAGATACTCATGCTTATAAAACAAGAACTTGACCTGCTGAGCTATTTTCCAGCCCCATTTTATACTTTTACTTTCTAAAACAATTCTAAGAATAATAAACACTACTGCTCAAAGCTCAGTAATCATTGCACTGACATTTCTGAAATATTAGTACAAATTAAAAGCAACTGATCATTAAATAGCAAGTCCAATACTTTAAAAAACTGATTGGCTGTTTTATCTTGAAACTCAAAGCATGTGCACTATATGAGGGCCATGAGATGGAAAACACAAAAGGCAGAGAGGAGAATGAAGGGCTGTGGGGCCACAGATGTGGGGAGGCAGGTGTAGCTAAGTGATTAAGGTTAAAAGGATTTCTGCAAATCGAAACTAATGGGAAAGAAGAAGCAAGAGTCAAAGTTTAATTAAAATGTTAAGTGACTACTGCATGTGGGAGAGGCTGAGAAGATACATTCTTCCAAATATATTCTCATCTGAGACTCAATATTCTAAAATTTTCAGTCTTAGAAATTTGGAAAGCTAGCATGCACATATGACAAAAATAACTACATTTCAATACTCCTTCTTCACTTGCCCAGTAAAGGTCATAAAAAGCAAATTCTATAATTTTTCACTAAACTAAAAACAACAAAGTTGATTATAAAACACCTTAAATGATCAAATTTCATAATTATCACCAGTAGAAAGCTCAACCAGCTGAACATTCTTGAAGGTCTTGCTATATCAGAGTTTTAATTTTCAAAATAAAATTTGTTAAGGTATAACTGATACATGAAAACTGTACATTTTTAAGTGTGTGATTTTATAAATTCTGATCTACATACATAGCTACATCATCACCACAGATTATCCATCATCCCCAATGTCTCCTAATGCCCAGGATTTCTCAAGCTGACCTGAAACACTCACTATCTACCTGAGGATGATCTTGAACTACTGAGTCTCCTGCCTCTACCTCACAAGGGTTGGGATTTCAGGTGTGGACCACCATATCTGGTCTATGCAGTGTTGGGGATAAAACTCAGAGCTCCATGCATGCTAGTCAAGCACTTTACCAACTGAACTACAACTTCACCCCACATGATTTGCTTTTGCAACAACTGAAACTAGGTGGGTTTTTTCACATAGAAACCTAAATATAGTACTACAGTACCATTAAGTATATTCAATACTATGTCAAAAGTTCACAATCATTTGTCCATACTTGTAAGTATTAAGTAACAGGTATTATGAAGAGTAGCTGAGAAAAAAAGGTCATTGCGTTCTTATTAGGATATGAACAGAAGTCCAATTCCACAGTATCTTAAAACAAGGTTGCACAATATTAAGTACTTACGTTTAATACTACATGAGATTATTTATGCGGTGGATAATTAGTAGAGAACACAGGCAGTAGCAGTATTTAGAACTCTTTGGTATCAATGTTTACTCCCCATATATAAATACATTTGTAAACCACTCTTTTAAAGAGCTGAACTTAGGAATAAATGACCAAGATGCTATTAGTAATATATAAGGGTTCTTGTTCTCATTTGTTGATTTTTGTTTGTTTGTTTATTTGCAGAAATGGGGGCTGAACCTAGGGCCTTGCACACGCTAGGCAAACATTCTACTATATCTCCATTCCTGTTTTTGCTTTCTAAGTTGAGGCAGGGTCTCGGTCTCCTCTCTCTCTCTCTCTCTCTCTCTCTCTCTCTCTCTCTCTC